CGTCTATCAATGCGATAACAAAATCACTTCTCTGTTGCCACCCGCCATTTCGAGTTTTTGCGCGCGGCCAGCAGTGGGAACAGGCAAGCGAATCATTGGAAGCGAGACATTCTTTACTGAAAGTCAACTCTTGTGAACTTTGCGCGATTCTCTTCGCTTGCCGCGTGACGCTCGACGCTTTCGCTTGACAAGTTTAGGGGTCGTGACAAAGTGCGAGCCAGCGAGTCATGCGAGCCAATGAGCGAGCCATGCGAGCCAGCGAGCCATGCGAGCCATACATTTTTAAATATCTTCTTTTTTAAAAAATGTTATTACCTATAATTATTTTTATTAACAGTATTAATTAATTAGTTGATTAGTTATTTAGGTATTTATTATTAAATGCTACAGAAAACTGTCGTAAATTTGTAGGGGAATGGTATTGATACACGAAGCATTGTGATTGGCTAAATGTACTGATGATGATCATGAGGACGAGACGACGGTGGTATGGTAATGTTGCGCGCATAGTTTTACTGGTTTTGCCTTTGCTGGGTGGTGCAGAGTATTGATATTAATTTTGAAAAATATGGATGCGACACAAAAGCGTTTTGCATGTCTTTTGGAGGCTAGCCGGCGAGGTTTTACACTTAAAACCGACCCAAGTGGTTCCGGAAACAGATGTTTTTACCAATGTATTGCCAGTTATCTGTCGGCAAAGGAACATGAGGTGTTCAAAATTGTCCAACTTTTTATGTTGGCAAACCAGATCGTTCATTCAGTAGAGGTAGGCCTACCCTGTAGGCTGTAGTATAAGCCATAGCCTAGCCTAGGCCTCTTTCTTTCTTGATTATTTCATGGAGTTATAAAATTATAGCAGTTTATGGCCTAATAAATATAACTAGAGTTATAGGCCAAGGCTTAGGCCTAGGTTAATTTATTATTTAATTAACTGTAAAAATAATAATATTTCGTCTCCCTCGGGACAAGACACTGCAGGCGTCAAACTGCCCAATTAATTAAACATAATAAGGAAGGCTGGGGTACTTGGCAGGCTGCCTAGGCCTAAATACTACTAAACTTTGATTCGAAAAACGTGCACAATGTAATTGTTAGATTTAGCCCAATCCAAAGTCAAATAAGTTTCAATTTTTTTACTGTTTGATATGATTATCATTTTTTTAAAGAAAGAGACAGAAGAAAATAAACATAAAACGACTTTCATATAAAAACTAATACCTGACTTTTATTTTTGGAATGAGTTTAAAAAGCATTTATATTTATCATATAGGTCTGTGGCCTACATATACATCAATATATAATTTATAAAACATATATTTAACAGGCTACAGTAGCATCTAGTATAATTAAGATGACAACAGGTATTTTAAACATAATAGAAAAATGTGAAGGTTGCAATAAAAAAAATCATTCATATTTTACTCAGGAATTTTTTAATAAATACCATCATATTTCCCTTAAAAGATTTTCAATTTATTTGAGATGTAATATGTCATTATTTTACATTGCTAAAAATCAGTGATTCAATTTGCAATTTCAACGAAACTCAATTCATCTGGTTTAATATAGGATGGTGTTCTGCAGCAACAAAACCTGTTTGAGTTCTTGTCCAATGCTGATTTTCCCAATCTCACAGAAAGGCCAGCTACATGGGAGCAGTGTGTCATAGCTCTTCAAGATCAGATGGCCAGTCATGTTGTCATACGGGCAGCTGCGACAATCTTCTCTTTCAATTGTAACATCATCGATTGGAGAGGGGTATGTATGTTATGTTTTGGTTTGAGAACCAAATACAGTATTTTGAATCAAAATTAAAAGGCAGCACTCTGAGACTCACTTTTGAATAAAATCCAGAATACACGCATCATATACAAATAGTAAAATAAATTGTGGCTTATGAGACATTTCGACATGTTTTACAACATTTTAATAGCAAAATAGCTACAAACTTCTTCTCATTATGTTCTAAGGATCTTATTACTGAAGGCCAGAGTGACACTGACAATCTATTTGGGTGAACATGGTACCCTTCCCCCATACAGTTTGTTTAAATAAGTAATTAAATAACACATTAATCTAGTTTTGCATTTACTAATTAGAGAATCACAGTTGCAAAACCCTTCGGTGAGGTACGATCTGGGATCTCAGATGTCTTCCTTGCGTACACTGGCGACCACTATATGCTTCTTACATCAAATGTTTGTTATCGGCCCATCAGAATGAACGATAAAGGTAATAGGAAAAATTACACAATAATCATTGCTTGTGCTAAGGAAAATGGAAGGACTCATTGAAGAATAAATCCATGTGGAATTGAATAGGATTTGTTATATGAAACTTTGCTTGTATTCACAGCTTCTGAGAGACATAAAGGGGCCGAAATGTTTTATCACTCCGGACCAGAAGAGTATTACCCAGGAATCAGTGTGTTCAAGGGAAGGCCAATAAAGGTATCATTTTATGCAGTTTTGTGAATTTTTTATTTTCTTAAAACCATATTTATAGATGGTGAATCGTTCGGCTCTCTCCATTACTGAAGAGGGGCCCAACATTTTTATACTATCATATATTAAGTTATGTAAAGACCAAAACTGACGATTTCTGTCGAGACTCGTGCACAGATCTGAATAAATGTTATTGTACCACCATTTTTTTAGGTGTCTTACCATTATTTGCATTTTTTGAATTCCTCTTAATGTCCAATTAAATATTGTATTAAGAACAATTTTGCATTAACAAGAATCTACAAAATATTGGACAAGGACTTGTCATGCTACAGGAACACATGTGAGAATTCATATAATTCCAATTACATTAGTACAGTAGGCGAATCAGTGTTATATTCAGTAGGTATGTAAGTAGTATGTAAGTGGAACATAACACTTCGGTGAGTGCAGCTGATACAAAGGTGTATGTTCACTAAAAATATATTATTAAGTGACCATATTAATCCCCAAAAAGTCAATACCTAATGAATATTAGGAATCATCCCAACATTTTACCATGTACAGCATAATCTAGTTTTTACTATATTCTTTATCAGTTTCTTACTGCTTTGTCAACATTATAAACAGAATTATTGGCTCACAGTTTATTTAAATGGTAATTTGTCTATTATTTGCAAAGGTCTTTTTAAAATTATTAAGGACATAACATTATTCAATATTTTGCTTTAGAATATTATTAATAATCTTGTATATATGGCAATATTTATTTGGCCGCCTCGGCTTCACAGGATGATTATCTAAACATTATGATAGTCCTAAGGCAGATCCAGAGAGAGTGATGTTCACCTACCTCGCACCCCCAACCGTGTTAGAATACTTTTTAATGGGAAAAAAATTGTACAGATGTGGATAAATTGTCAGCAGCCTTTTTTCTACTTTTGTGGGATGGGGATCATATATGAGAATAATTTTCAGGCTAATCTCATTATTTCAAAAATGAGAGGGTAATAAGGGCAGAAGACGGTTCCCCACGTAATTTAATCTTGTCCTTTTTTTTCGCACTCCCTTCTGGAAATATCAACAACCTTTTCGCAAGTATATTTAGTTTGATTTAATCGGTATTTCAATTGTATTTGCAGCTTGATGAACTGTCATGTGAAAGTATTAATCATGTAAGTTACATTGAACTACAGAACTACAGTATTATAGGGAGCAAAGAAAATATGTACTAACATTCAAATTACTATTTCACACTACCAAGCAAGCTTCTGAGCTGATTGGCAATGGTTTTTTCAGTACAATACTTTCTTTGCTCAACTACATGTGTCTATCTTTAAAAATGAAAATTATGTTATTATGAACATTTTTTAGTATTATTTTATTATTATTCATTGGAGGTTAGTTTTGAATTGTGTATAATTTTTTTAAATGCCTGAAACATGCATAATAAGATTCCTCTAAAGAAAAAACAAGGAAGCGCACACCAAAACAAGGGAAAAAATTGTGCATTTTCATTATATGTTGGATGCTATTACAATATTTTGAATTTTTGTCACAGGATACGAAGGATGATTACACATACATTTTATCTGATGAGAGCGAGACCATTAGCCGTGTCAAAAAAAGATCAAAAAAGGACATAAAAAACAAAAAACCTCAGGTATGTGCATTCAAACCAGTATTTATTTAAACAATAACAGTCATCATGATTATTAATTAGGTGTTTTTACGATATTTTGAATTTTTGTACAGATTACAGAGAATGATTAGATCTCAAGACAGCAAGAATAATATTAGCATTATATGACCAAAAAAGCACATAAAAAAATTAAACACAGGAGGTATGTGCATTTAAATAATAAAAATAATAATCATCATTGTGATTGGTTGTTTATTGGGTGTTTTTACACAATTATAGATTTTTTGTACAAAATACGGAGGTTGATTACACATACATATCATATCTGATGAGAGCGAGGATAACATCAGCCATTTAAAAAAGAGACCAAAAAAGCACATAAAACTATTAAGAACATGATGTATGTGTATTTAAACAATATCAGTGATCATGATTATTACTGATTATTATTTGGTGTTTATACAATATTTTTTATTTGTGTACAGAATACAAAGGATGATTGCACATATAGGTGTATTATATCTGATGACAGCGAGGATAACATCAGCTGTGTAAAAAAGAGACCAAAAAAGCGCATAAATAATGAAAAGCACGAGGTAAGTGCATTTAAATAATAACAGTAACAGTGAACATGATTATTATTGGTTATTTATTGGGGGGTTTTTTTACAATATTTTTTATTTCTGACAGAATACGGAGGATAATTACACATATATCATATCTGATGAGAGTGAGGAGAACGTCAGCCATGTAACGAGACTAAAAACGCATATAAAAAAAGAAAAATATGAGGTATGTGCATTTAAACAATAACAGTAGTCATAAATATTGGTTATTTTTACAATATTTTGAATTTTTGTTCAGAAAATGGAGGATGATTGCACATACAGGCCTGTTATATCTGGTAAGAGCAAAGATAACATTAGCCGTGTAAAAAAGAGACCAAAAAAGCACATAAAACTATTAAGAACATGATGTATGTGTATTTAAACAATATCAGTGATCTTGATTATTACTGATTATTATTTGGTGTTTATACAATATTTTTTATTTGTGTACAGAATACAAAGGATGATTGCACATATAGGTGTATTATATCTGATGACAGCGAGGATAACATCAGCTGTGTAAAAAAGAGACCAAAAAAGCGCATAAATAATGAAAAGCACGAGGTAAGTGCATTTAAATAATAACAATAACAGTGAACATGATTATTATTGGTTATTTATTGGGGTTTTTTTTTTACAATATTTTTAATTTCTGTACAGAATACGGAGGATGATTACACATATATCATATCTGATGAGAGTGAGGAGAACGTCAGCCATGTAACGAGACTAAAAACGCATATAAAAAAAGAAAAATATGAGGTATGTGCATTTAAACAATAACAGTAGTCATAAATATTGGTTATTTTTACAATATTTTGAATTTTTGTTCAGAAAATGGAGGATGATTGCACATACAGGCCTGTTATATCTGGTGAGAGCAAAGATAACATCAGCCGTGTAAAAAAGAGACCAAAAAAGCACATAGAAAATGAAAAACATGAGGCATGTACATTGAAACAATAACAGTGATCATGATTATTATTGGTTATTTATTGGGTGTTTTTGCAATATTTTGAATTTTTGTACAGAATATGAAAGATGATTCCACCTATATCATATCTGATGAGAGTGAGGAGAATGTCAGCCATGTAACAAGACCAAAAAAGCATATAAAAAAAGAAAAACATGAGGTATGTGCATTTAAACAATAACAGTAATCATAAATATTATTGGTTATTTATTGGGTGTTTTTACAATATTTTGAATTTTTGCACAGAATGCGGAGAATGATTACGCATATATCATATCTGATGAGAGTGAGGAGAACGGCAGCTATGTAACGAGACCAAAAAAGCCTATAAAAAAAGAAAAACGTGAGGTATGTGCATTTAAATAATAACTGTGATTATGATTATTATTGGTTATTTATTGGGTGTATTTACAATATTTTTTATTTGTGTACAGAATACAAAGGATGATTGCACATACAGGTGTATTCTATCTGATGACAGCGAGGATAACATCAGCCGTGTAAAAAAGAGACCAATAAAACACATAAATAATGAAAAGCATGAGGTAAGTACATTTAAATAACAACAGTAATAGTGATTATTATTGGTTATTTATTGGATGATTATACAATATTTTGAATTTTTGTACAGAATGTGGAGGGTGATTACACATATATCATATCTGATGAGAGTGAGGAAAACGTCAGCTATGTAACGAGACCAAACAAGCATATAAATAAAGAAAAACATGAGGTATGTGCATTTAAATTAAACAACTAGTAATCATAAATATTATTGGTCACTTATTGGGTGTTTTTACAATATTTTGAATTTTTTTATAGAATACAGAGGATGATTGCACATATAGGCCTATTATATGTGATGAGAGCAAGGATAACATCAGCTGTGTAAAAAAGAGAACGAAGAAGCGCATAGAAAAAGAAAAACCTCAGGTATGTGCATTAACAATAATAATAACAGTCATTATGATTAATAATTATTTATTCGGTGTTTTGAAAATATACTTTTTGTCCAAGATACAGAGAATGATTACAGACACATTTCATTTGATAAAAGCGAGGAGGAACATCAGCCGTGTAAAAGAAGAGACCATAAAAGTGTGTGCATTTAAATAATAATAATGACAGAGTAGACTTTTTAAAATTCTATAGTCACATGTATCAACTATTTTTGAAAAGGGATTAAAATGTCCACTTTGTCAAATAGGGAGTTTTTTTAATGGAAGAACTAGTCAGTTCGATGAGTGGTCTTAGTTCTGCTGATGTCACACCAAACAAACCAAAGAGAAAGGCAACTAAATGCTTATTTTCAGAGGATGAGTAAGTGAACATATTTTCCTCAACCATTCACACTAGTACTCTTTCATGAAATCTAATAAATATCAAACAGTTTTAGACTGTAAAAGGGGTGGGGAATGTGGGTAATGGGAAATGAAATATTTATAAAAGGAAGGAAAAAATTATGAAATATAAATGAATAATTGTGATGCAAGTATAACCACTTATGCTTTTTTTGCTCATTAATTAAACATGTACAATGTTGTTTAATGTTACATTAAATTTATCACTTTTTATTGACACAATAGGGACACAGATGATATTCTGTTGCAGAAGGGTAAGAGGACTTACATTAATCAAACAAATATTGAAAAGATGGATGCAGTGCAAGTGGATAAAATCCCACCTACTCCTAATGGTACTGTAAAGTTCCAGGTAGCGTATAATAAAAAAGAACCACTTTCCAATATTTGTGATAGTTGGAACTGGCAGCGTGCCCAGCCTTGCAAAAGACGTGGATTTTGTAAGGGTGGCAGACGGACGTTACAGATTTGTGGCGGCTCCTTGGTGTGTCACAATATGGATTGTGCGTATAACAAAATCTACAAGATGTCAAATAAAGTGGATTTCAGTAAGAGAAAGAACTGTTTACATTGTAATCAAGAAGCCTTCAAAATTGATTGTGCTGCAAGAAAATATGTGGAAAATGATCGATGCCATAAAATCATGACAGTTTATTATGTCGGAGAGCACATTTGTTCACCACGCGCTATTGAAACATTGCCCAACAAAGATGAAGTAGAAGATATTATTCGCACAAGGCCAACAATTACAACCGGCCAAATCCAGTTGGAAAAAGTCAGAGAGGCATTGCTAGATGGCAGGGATGCAAATGAGGTAGAATGCGTTGCCCAGAAATTCAGCAACTCAAGGCACCTTCGGTATCTTCGAAGCTTGGTAAATGAAAAATCGAGACCTGGGGGGTCAGACATTGAGGCAGTTCGTCTTTTAAAGGAGGATTTTGAAAAACGAGGTTTAGATCATAATTTGATTTTAGAAGTTGGAGAAGATTATGTGTTACTTTCAAGTGAACAGAAACTTAAAATGGCAGCCCTCATTACCATTAATAAAATTAATGAACCAGTCAGTCTTGATGGATGTGAAAGTCATGCCAGAGACTACACAGAACTAGAATTGACAACATATGTTCCAGTTTTAAGAAGGAATGTAAAACTTGCCAATATATTTGTACCAAAACCTGGAGAAAACTCAGAAAATGTCCAGAAACTGGTGGAAAAATTTGATAAAGCTGTGAACGAAATATTGCCATTAGTTGCCTTAGAATATAACCTTAAGTCAGAAGAATTTCTGGGTAAGGGTCTGGATGCCTCTGCTTACGTCGGAGATGAGGGAGGCGCCTTATGGGGAGGTCTATGTAAAGCAAAGGGTGATCATATTAAAAACAAAACTATATCAGATTTCTTTCATTTTAAACAAGATCTGAATCGACATAAGGTCTACTTTCAAAATGATAAGGATAAAGCAAAATTTCAAACATTGATGCTTGAGGCCTATAATGCAGTCACATCTATTCAGGCAGACGAAGCAGAAAAGGCCCTAGAAAAATTAATATCTAAGCAGTCCAGCAATCCAACAAAAATGATGAATTACAAAATGTGGTGGTGGAGGAGAAGGGTTCGGTGGCAGAAGTGGTGTAAAACCTATTCTTCATGTTCAGCGTCCTCTGCTGAA